GTGTACACAATTTTTTGGCCGGCATCAGTGGCGCAACAGGCTGATCAAGACATGCCGCGAACGTGCAGCAGGCTGATCTCTTGATAGTATCCGACGCATTTGACAGTCGAGAGCAAACTCCAGTCTAGTGCTCCTGCACATGTAAGAATCAAAGAGAGAGCTCCGTACAAGTAGACCTTGAGTCGTATCTTCACCCAGGGCGAGATCCCCACTGGGGGCAATCCTAGATGGCTTAATGGCCTGCATGTGTTCGGCCTGGGTATAGCCATCTGGTTGGAAGTTCGGCGGAGGTGAAGGTCGGCCTCCGCTTTTGTCGAAGAGTCGAAAATCCGAAGAGTAGCTCTATCCGACCGTCAGGTGTCTAAGAACCACCGCCCACTGGCAGATGGTGCTTATATGCTTATGATACCTGGAAGATGGTATCTGCGACGGTCAAGAACCCCCCTCAACGTATGCAGACCGATCCGCGGGCAGGACAGCATCCCGCAACATGGCCTGGTGCAAGGGGCCCAGCCCCCAATCACCTGACCAGTCCACCATGCGCCGTCCGTTCTTGAAGTGCTCCGCCAAATGATCTGCGCGTGCTGCCCACGTTGGCAGGATTAGCTGGCAAAATCCACAGCGGCTTTGCACATCATTCGGCACGACGCGACAAGCCTCCACACGTAAGGCAGGGACCGTGGTACAGTGATGAAACTTGCGAAAGTGCTGGATCAAATGGTCTTTACGCCGAAAGGAACGTTCTGATAGCGGGCGATCCGCACACACGTCGAACTCATGGGTCGAAAAATGAGATTCGGTCAGTGGAGAGGCTCCGCAGAAATCGCATTGTAATACCTCCGAGCCAGCCAGATCCAGAACGCCCGATCCCACGCTACAGATCCAGGATTCCAACGACAGGTGTACGCTCTTTTCATGACGGACCCAATCATGCTTTTTCCTGAACGCATCCACACAGAAGGTACACTGAAACGGGCTACCCGCGGCCGACTGACGCCTGGGCCGTCTGCGACGGGAATGGGATCGCGGCCGCCCATCCGATAGGGGGAACGGCAGAAAGCTCTCCGACTGATGACTCCAGGCGGATGAGAAGCTCCCGGACGACGCCTGCGACGGTTCACTGTCGATACTCGAAATAGAGGATGCGAAGTGGTGAGAACTGGGACTCGCGCCGCCAGGTGTGCTGGGATTATCCCAGGCGGCATCAGTGCCGGCGGCGGCAATAGCTTGCTGAATAGCCGACTCTGATACGGGTTCTTGGTCTGGTGGTGATCGCTGCCAGCGTTCCATTGGAGTCAGGGCCGCCGATCGGGAAATGGGCATTGGGGAGCCGCTGCGGAAGATCTGACTCGGTCGGGAGGTGCGGTGAACCATACGATGGCGCCGTCTGGCATTGGCAAACCAGGTGGAGATCTGCTTCTCGGTGAGGCCGGTCTGCTGAGCAAATGCTGCCTTCTGTTCATCTGTGGGATACGGAGCATGCTGGTTCCGATAGAGCCAATCCCGCAATACTTTGGCACCTTTTCGGGAAAACCGTGGCCTGTGCTGTCCGTCCTCTTCCTTTCTTTCCTGGTCATGTGACGATTGCGCCTGGCCATTCTGTGAATCCGATAATGCGTGTGAGGTAGAATTCAGTTCCTCTCTAGTCCACTCGGTGACGCCATGCATATGATTGAATACGGGAAAGACGGTTTCGAAGCCGGCAGGGTGGCGCTTCTCGCCGCGGGCGAGGCTGCATTCGCGGAAGAGGGCGACGCAACTGGAACAGGATGTCACGGGGTTCGGATTGGCCGGGGTGGTGCGAATGATGAGGCACTGCAGTCGGTGCTGTTGACAGTACATGCAGGGGACAGGGGGACGATATGCGCCAGCGAGCCACTGAGAGACATTGACAAAGTCATCGGGCGGGGAAATGATCGTTGTGTCGTTAGTGGAATCCGGCTGCGTCGACCAAAGGTTGTCGCTGGAAAGCATCTCCAGTGAGCTCCAGTCATCCTGCAACTGAGGAGTCATAGATGAGAGAGCCTCCGCGTCTACCACGCCCGGGAGGGCATCTGGGTAGACGGAGGGCAGCCATTGCGCCCAGTGGTCGTCGTCGGTGGATGGTGGGGGAGCGTCGGAGGAGTTGGCCATGACGTGGGGAGGGAGGTAAGCTGGGGACGAGCCGCCTGAAGAAAAATTTAAGAAGAGTGGACTATGGGGAATGCCATAGTGAAGGCATAGAAGGCAGTCCACAAGACAAGAGAGCAGGGAAGTTACACATAAGAAGGAAGAGGGGAAGATGGAGGAGAGATGGAGAAGAAGGGAAAGGCTACCCTTTGGGAAGGCGGGGACAGAAAAGGGTAGCTTATTTCACCGCCTTCTATGTTCAGGGGGGAAGTCGGTGAATTCAGCCGGTGATTGGCCTGATAGACAAGGCTTTTGAGTCACCACATGACTAATCTCCACCAACTTCGCCCCGATGTTAGTAAGTAGTTACTAGATCATATCATCAACAACAATTGCTCAAGGATTTTTCAGGTCTATTCTTTCACTCTATATATCCTCTCCTCCACGTGTACATAGTGCCTAACCATGTTGTCTCTATCTATTTACAAAATTGCTGGATAAACTGCCCCAGAATCTCCCGCAGCTCCCGCATACTGTCCACCTCCACCCATTCTTCGCGCGAGTGCAAGCCTGCCCCCGATGGGCCAAACACCACGCTTGGGGTCCCTGCCTCAGTGAGTAATGCGGCATCACACCAGAACGGAGCACTTTGGACCCGGGGAGGTTGTCCGACAACCTCGGTGCCCAGCTGGACCAATTGCTGCACCACGGGATGATCCTTGGGAACATGCTGGCTGGGGCGCCAAAGCGTGATGCGCGGCTCTCGATACTGGAAGTCGGGATGCTCGTCACTTATTCGCTTTAGGATGGCACCCAGCTCAGCCAGGATCATCTCATTGGTCTGCACCGGCACAGTGCGGTATTCCAGAGTCAGTGTGCAGCTGGCAGGGTACGAGGAGACTTCTTCTCCGCCCTGGATGACTCCACAGTGCAGTGACCCCGGTCCTAGCACCGGGTCAATGGGCAGTTGCGTCTGATACTCACGCAATGCCTGGAGCAGGTGCCCCATGTTCAAGATGGCGTCCACCCCATCGGCTGGCTGGGACCCGTGGGCCGCTCGGCCCAAAATCTCCACTTCTACCCACACAAAGCCCTTGTGCGCGTGCGCGATGGCCATGTTAGTCGGCTCGAGGACGATCCCCGCATCAGCCCGCCAGCCTGCCGCAATCACGTCCTGGGTGCCCTGCGAAGCATCTTCTTCGTCTGCTACCGCTGCGACCATCACGTCTCCAGCCAGTCGTTGCTCTCGGGCCACGAGAAGGGCTGAGAGCCCGGCCGCCAGACCACCCTTCATATCCAACGTGCCGCGACCAAACACGGCCTCCTTTCCATCTTTCACCCCCAAATGGCCTGTGAGTGCATCGCCATCATAGGTGGTCAGACTGACTGTATCGACATGTCCGTTCAACATGACGGACGCTCCTCCGCCGGAGCCGCGGATAATGCCCACCACCGAAGGTCGTCCGGGCGCCGTCTCGATGCGATGGTGCTCGATGGCACGATGGGCGAACCAGGCACAGAGGTAGTTGGTGATGGCTGATTCTCCAGCGCCCTGTGTCTTGGACAACGTGGGATTGGAGGAATTGATCCGCGTGAGCACCTGTGTCAGTGCCACCGGATCATCCCCGGAGACATCCATTGGGACCTCGTAGGGACGAGAGCCCTCCGTGCTGAGGAGCAGGATGACGGAATCTGGGGAAAAGAAAGTCGAGGTCGGTGAAGCCTCCGCCTTCAGCCGGTGGATGGCAGCCAGGGAAGCAGCACCACAAGGACCGGAGTCGATGGATTGGGCAGCCAGGTCTTGCACGGCGCAGTGGCTCTCCCAGTCCGAAATGGTGAGACTAACGTCGACTAGCTGCCGCAGCAGGGGCCAGGCGGCGGACGATACCGTGCCGCAGTTCATGCCGGCCATGATGCTGGGACTAGTGATGACGGAGCTTGGATGGCCTTGTTGCAAGCTGTGCGTCAGGCTAGGCGCTGTATCCGGCTCCACGGCCACGACGGTGGCGGGCGTGTCGCGCGACTTATAGTATGTGGCGACAGCTTCCGCGAAGGAGCCCACGCCCACCGGGGCCACGACGAGGCTGTTCTGCAGGCCCAGGGCGTGCAGCTGGGCGTCGGCTTCCTGGAGCAAGGTGGCATAGCCCTCCACCACCCAGGCCGGGATCTCTTCGTAGCCTTCTAGCGCCGTATCCTGCACCAGGATGCCCTGGGACATTTGGTTGGCGGCCTTGGCAGCGGTCTCGACGGCGTGGTCATAGTCCCCGTCCACCACTTTGACTTCGGCTCCCTCGGAGCGGATCTTTTCCCGAGTGTAGGCGTGCATTGTGCACGGGACGTAGATGTGACATTGGAGCGACATCTGCCGGGCGACGCGAGCCACAGCACGGCCATGGTTGCCCTCGGTGGCCGCGAGCAGGGTAATCGGCGCGGACTGTGCGCGCACCCGCTCGATCAAGGTGTCAACTGGTGTACCCTCTGGTAACTGTACAAACGAGCGGATGGCCTGGTAGATGGCCCAGGAGGCCCCCAGGACTTTAAAAGAGGGTAAACCGAAGCGGTTGCTCTCCTGCTTGAGGTAGACAGCACGCACTCCTAGTTCCTCAGCCACAGCGGGCAGCGGCACCAGCGGGCTCGGCGCATAGCCGGGGAATCGTTGGTGGAAGGCCAGCGCCCCCGGGGAGGCCGCCGAGGTGGTCGTGGACGAGCTGTGATTCACGTAGATCGGCCTGCGGAAAGTGGACATTATGATGAGATTTCTTTTGAATTCTCATCTATCCCACTGACTGGATGGTGCGCTTCCATATATAACGGGCGGGGAAAAAGACTTTCATTCCCGGTTGCCGAGAAGGGATGCGCCCTCTCGCGACAAACCCTCATTTTACTTGTCCCCAGAAGGCGCAGAGGCAAACCCGGAAACGGAATTCCTCCCTCGTTTCGAAAGCAATGTATTTCGTACTGGGTATAAGACTCGACCTGTACCAGCAAACTGGTAGAGTCCAGTAACTACTACAGCTGCGCCTCTACGCTCCGAAGATGTTTGGCCGTACACTTACCCGCCAGTTGTCGCGCCCGGCCTGGCGCCGTTGGCTGTCCACCGCGTCGGGTTCAGGCCTTCGCATCAACTCGGATCGCCTCATGGAGACTCTCCATCAAACATGTGAATGGGGAGCTGCCCATCGCTACGGCGAGTAAGTGATGCGCCCGTTGGAAACTTCCCCAGTCTCTGTTGAGATGGAATATACAAGCTGACCACTGAATGGCAGAGGTTCGACAGAGACCGGTATGGCTCGACTATGCCTGACTGACGAGGATGCCAAAGTGCGCCATTGGCTGCGGGAAGAAGTTGAGAAGCTGGACTGTACAGTGACGGTCGACCAGATGGGCAACATGTTTGCCAGACAGCGAGGGTCCCTGGGCTCTCCCGCGCCTATGACGGCCATGGGCAGCCATCTCGACACTCAGCCCCGAGGTGGTCGCTATGACGGGATTCTGGGTGTTCTCGCAGCCCTGGAGGTATTGCGCACCATGAAGGAGAATGGATTCCGAACCAACTTTGACATCGGATTGGTTAACTGGACCAAGTACGTCTTAACTCCTGCATACTCATTGATGTTACACCATCATTCTAACCACTGGCACACAGTGAGGAAGGTGCTCGGTTCCCCAAGTCCATGTGCTCCTCCGGTGTCTGGGCTGGAGAAATCCCCCTAGAAAAAGCCTGGGGACTGACAGACATCTACAACCCGGCCGTGACCCTGCGCTCAGAGTTGGAGCGCCACGGCTTCCTCGGTTCGGTGGCCTGCTCCCATGACTCAGCTACTGGATATCCGCTCGGTGCTCATTTCGAGCTCCACATCGAACAGGGACCTATCCTCGAGGAGGCGGGCAAGTCTGTAGGTATCGTGCGTGGAGCGCAGGGATACCGGTGGTTCACCATAACGGTGGGTGGTCGTGATGCCCACACCGGAACGACACCCCTGGCAGCGCGGCGGGATCCCGTTCTCGCTGCGTCCAAGATGATCGTGGCCTCCAATGCCATTGCCAAACGACATGGCGCACTCGCCTCCACGGGTGTGATGAAGCTGCCTCGCAGTTCCTCCACCAACACAGTTGCCTCCAAAGTGACCTTCACCCTGGACATCCGCCATCCCCAGGACGCTGTGGTGCACGCGGTGCAGGACGAATGTCTGGAGGCGTTTGCTGAAATTGCGCAGGAGGACGGCAAGGGCGTCTCGCTGGACTGGACGCTGGATACTGATTCTGCGGCTGTCAAGTTCGACGAGCACTGCATCACCGCTATCCAGGATGCAGCCACGCAGCTGGTCGGAAAGGACCAATGGATGCAATTGACTAGTGGAGCGGGCCACGATAGTGTTTATACTAGTCGGCATTGTCCCACAGCGATGATCTTTGTGCCGTGCAAGGAGGGTGTCAGTCATCATCCCGAGGAGTATTGTAGCCCGGCTGATTGGTAAGTGTGTTGTTGTTGTTGTGCTTATATTGTTTCTGACTCTTCTATGTAGTGCTCTCGGTACTCAGACGCTGCTGGAGGCTGTGGTCAACTATGATCGCATGAGAGGGGATCTTTCCAAGGCCTAGAATGATGGCTAACACAGTCACACTTTTGCTACCTTGTGGCGTACCCTTTAGTATACATTTCCGAATCCTTTCTCGGCTGTTTTAGGTTATAGACATCTTATTCAAATTCTTTAGTTTATATGTAATAATAGTATCACAACCAATACTATGTACAACCCCTCAAGCACTCTTGGTCAATCGCTCATATCATGGTGTCAACACCTTTTAACTCCGGTCTAGATGCTCCAAGATCCAATCTACCTCGTCCTTTGCCGTGGTGAGAGCATGCTCGGGGCTATACCGAGGCCGCCAGCCAAACTGTCGACCATGCTGCGCATCCAGCACACATCTACCAACATCAGTACAAGTACATCTCGCCAGCATCAATTCTTCGGAAACTTACCCTCCGCCCAGTTCCACAGGCACAAAGCCCTTCGGACGACTCAGCGCCTCGCCTATCTCCTCCAGGACAGCATCATTGGCATCCCCCACCGTAGCATCCTCAATCACTCCTCGTTCCGCCAGCCTTTGTGCCATAGCACTATACAAATCATCCCAAGCCACTGTGCCGGAAGCAGCCAAGTAGTACCCTTGTCGACCCGAATCCAGCGTTTCCTCTAGGAGCATTTTCCGAAGCAGATCCAGATACAGACCGACGGTGTCCTGGATATGAGCGACGGGCCAGACCTATGCCACATTAGCCTTAAGTTAGAGTAAGATTCAAAACAAGACGAGGAACAAATGCATACAGGCCGTCCCGAATCCACACGATACACACGCTTCGCCTTGAGGGCTGCCTTGACAATCGCGACCGTCTGGATGGAGATGCGGTTCCCGAACCCTTCTCCTGGTCCGTAGACCACACACGGAATGAAGATGTAGCTGCGTACTCCATGTGCTTCTGCCGTAGCAATTACGGTATTATTAGCTTCCAAAGCCTAGACTCAGTAAGTATATAGACAATTGTGAAGATACAGAAAAAGAGATGGCACTCACTGGCCCAAGCCACGGATGCGACGGCTTCGCAGTCCTCTGCATTTCATACAGTCCTGGATCAGCGTCCGAGAATGCACGATCGGTCGGATGTCCAGCATGACTGCTGAATAGCTTAGCACCAGAAGTATGCAAGAAATGGACGGTTTTCCCAGTGCGCTCGCGCACTTGGCCCAGAGCCTGGATCATGGGTATCTGAGTGCAGGCGCTGGCGGCGTCGATAAGGAAATAAATGATGGAGATTTCATGGTCGACGATGGTCTGGATAATGTTCTGGTCGCCATCGAGGTTTATGTATAACGGAGTCGCGCCGTATTGCTGCACAGCTTGGCTTTGTTGCTCAGTTCGCACGAGAGCATACAGGGTGCCGTGGGAGGGCAGTTGGGCTGTTTGCCAGCGGGAAAGGAGAGTTCCTCCCAGGTAGCCAGAGGCTCCGGTAATTAGGATGTTGTGGGAATGATTGGTAGTCATGTTGATGTACTTGGAAACATGCAATGGCTGGTACGTGGTTGTAGTTGGGTTGCTGCTTATTTTATACTCGCTGGAAGTTGGTGATGGAATCCCGATTGGTAAGAGATTCCCGCCACTGAGTAATCCGCCATCAACATGAGCCAACATGAGTCACCCTAAGTCTATCTCACGACTCACGATTTATAAGATATCATTTGCCAAATCCTACTTAACTAGGTAAAGAATAATAAGCAATATATTTCATTACTCTTATCGGTATTTTCTGGGCTATTGCGCACCAACATTACAGATGACATATCAGCAACATAGAACAGCTAGTCAACTACCTCATTCCCAACAACTTCAACTATCCCCTTGTCTAATCTCACATCATTCAAGTCTCAAACTTGCTAGTCCCGTTTCCAAGTCATTTGCACGCGTAACTCCGTCGACCGTTTGATGTCCCTGGCCCCCAACTGGGGCACCACACTCGGGACACGTTGAGACTTGCATCGCGCCTCCACATTCGCCGATCGTGAAAGGATGCCCGTTTGGACAATAGTACCAGTGGCCAGTGCCCATGAATTCGCGGTTCATGGCCGTGATCACTGCCATGCGTTCTTCGTTGGAGACGGCGCTATAGAAAGTTGAGCCTCTTAACATCGCCTTGGCGCTCTCAATCTCTTCCGAAAACCCCTGGGTTTGGCCTGGATACTGCCTACAAAGTTGCTCGGCAGCATCTAGGGCTTGGCAGCCTTCAGTAAGCCGACGCTCGGCATCGGCTACATCTGTTATGTGTGATCGCTGCAGAGCACAGAGCTGCGCCAGGAAGATGTAGCCCTCAGCTTGATGGGCAACTCGATGCAGGTCACCGGCTAGCTGGATGAGGCTGTGGCAGTCATCCATATTTTTCTGCAGATCGACCAAAAGCTCACGCCGTGTTGACAGTGGAGTTGCAACGTTGTAAAGCGAGAGAAAGTCGCCGACCAGTGCAATGTCTAGCCGGATGAGAAGTGCTTGTGCTAGCAAAACACCCTTCGTTTGCAACACACTTTCATTGAACTTGAACGTCCCTTGGGATTCTTTCTGCCGCCGTGCGTGCTCCACCAGGTACTGAACGCGACTGAAGGGTTGCTCTTCGACTTGAACCCTGGAGTAGTATTTGACCATGCGCTTCCTCAGTTGGAGGAGTCCATCCCAGCGATTCATTTTGTTATTCTTCATGAGATCCCCCAAGCGTTTGATTTGTTGGTTACCAGAACCATCAACCCGGATGGCTTCACCGATTTGGAACATTGCCAGCAACCCAGCCAAATTCTTGGCCTCAGGTAGTGCCGTAACTAGCTTTGGCAGTTCCTGGGCCATTGGAACGTATTCATTGTTGAGGTACAAGATAAATTTCTTTGTGGCCTCATCCAACATGGCCCGACGTACCAGCCGACCGTACCGAGAAATATCCCGTAAAGATCCCCGGCAGGTGGCACATCTTTTGACGTCCTCGACGGAAAATGGCCTGGATGACTCGGTGATCGCGACTGGTTTACCGTCGGCATCCAACTCATAGTGTCCTTTCATGTCCATCTGGCCATCCATACTCTCCATGGTCAAGAAATGTCCGCATCGAGGAAAGATGCAGGGGTTTTCATTAAGGTCTATCTCCCGATATGCCTCGCCGAGGATAAAATCAACAACGCGGTCCTTGACCTCTGGAGCAGCACATATCTGGCAGAAAGGAGCTGGCGGACAAATCTCGCCACAAATAGAGGGACATCGATGGCCACAGGGCAGAAGTTTCTCGCAGCGCTTGGAGCAAGGCACATTGTCGCAAGGAGCCGCACAGGGCAGCGTACATGAACTGTGAGGACACGACGATGGGCATTTAGTCTCGGCGCAGGGAACGCAGGGCTCACAGCACTTGTTGGGGCACTGGGAATGGCCACAATGAACATCGCAAGGGGCCTCACACGGAGGACAGGACTCCGGCTCGTGGCAGATCCGAGTACAGCTATGTGCACACGTCGAGTAATTGCGACCACACGGCTGTTCGCATCGGCCATGGTTGACTTGAGCATTGTTGTCCCCATCATACCGAGTACACTGACAGCATTTGCGTCGGCAAGGGTGCCCGCAGGCCAGAATGGCTCCACACACTGCTGGGCAATTAAACGTGGAATCCTCGACGTTGATATGACAGGGCACTGTCACCGTGTGCTTGCACCCGCGCACCTGCTTCACCACAGGCACTGGACACTTAACCTGCGTCGGATCTTGCGCCTGCCAACATGGGAGCTCCACTGCAGCATGTCCACATCTGAGTTTCCGGTTGGCGTCGAACACGATCACCTGGCATTGTTGGGGACATTTATCGCCACAGTGCTTCGGGCAGGCATGATCGCATCCCTTCAAATGTCTTGGACAAGGTTCCTGGCAGTAGACCGCATCATGGAGCAGCGTCGAATGGCATTTCTGCTTACAGGCATGACCGCATCGCAATCGGTTGGCACAGCGCTGATTGCAGCCGCCCTCTGGGGAGAATTGCACGAAGTGGTCGGGCTCCGAAACAGCAATAGGGGATTCTGGATGGCGTGGGCATTGTAGCTTGAGCTGGGCGCCAAAGTTGTCCTTGTCCTTTAAGATCTCCACCACTTGGCGCCACATCGGTACATCCATCGAGGTAGCGGCGTTACCTATGATATACATGCCGTGCTTTGCACGGGACAGCAGAACGTTGATGCGGTTAGAGGTACGTAGAAACCCGCAGCGTCTCTGGGCATTGCTTCTGACCAACGAAATTACCACAACCTTGGCTTCCTCACCCTGGAAGTTATCAATGGTGGCTGCACGAACGGTCTGTAGTGCATTTGATCGAGACACCGGAGGATTACCTGCGTCTGATTCATTTAGTCCTGCCGCCTCCAGATCATCCTGGTCACGATCGCCGAGGACGATCGAAAACGACTCGCTGAGCCGACGCCGCAGCCGATGGAGCTGTCCCAGGTAAGGGGTCAGGACAGCAATTTCTCCCGCTCTATAACAGCCTTGTCGGATCAAGTGAGCGACTAGTGCGGTGGTCATCTCCACCTCGAACGCGTTCCAGTGTGAGGTGTTTACCGCATCAGTGCTGGAATTGTCGGCTTCGAGGTGTTGATGATCAAACCAGAACAGCCTCTGGCGCATCCCGCATACCTCCGGGTATTCCAAGACAGAGTGGGAATCTTCTAGGCGAGGGTACAAAGTGTCTCTGACCAGCTGTGCGATGGAAGGATGCATTCTGCGTTGCGTTTCCAACGTGCTAAACGGCATCCGCACCCCTGGGCCATCCTCGCCGGGATCAACCAGTCGCTCAAACAATGATTGATCCAAAGAGTACTGTTCACCACCTCGGTAGTTCTCTCGAGAAAGGTTGTAGTCTTGAATCTGCGGGCGAAGTTGCTGGTGATCTCCAATGAGTATGGCATGCTCGACGGAAGGCAGAAGGGCTGTCAGGAGATGAGCCTCCAACACCTCTCCAGCCTCTTCGCACAGCACTACCTTGGACTGAAGGCGGCGAAGCATCTTGAGATTTCGAGCGAGGCCACTAGTCGTAACCCCGATAACCTGTGCCTGTCGGAGACATCGCAGATCGACCTCGTGTCGAACATCGTTCAGTTTTTCCTTGCTCCTCTTTTGTTCATGCACCAGATTCTTT